CAGAGACGTGCTAAAAGAAATTAAAACATTGAAAGGCAAATAAAGGCACTCTTTTCATGTAATAAGTGATAAGAACGGTAACACATTAACGGAAACCATAGACATATTACATTATTAGAACGATGGAAAGAATACTGTAGAGGAATGTATGAGGATGTGAAAAGTAATTTAAAAACAACTTGTGAAAGTTAAGAAAAAGGACCCGAGCCTTTACTGGATGAGGTACGATCAGCAATACACAGCCTGAAGAAAGGAAAGTCACCAGGTTGCGACGAAATACCAGCAGAACTAATTCAAGCAGGAGGAGAGGCCAGCGTCCGAATCTACCATGCACAGTGCTCGAAGACTGGAAGTGGCATTTGGCCTAAAGCGTGGAAAAGAACAATCCAAATCCCTCTACCAAAGAAAGGAAATTTGAAACTTTGCTCCAACTACCGTACCATCGCATTAATAAGTCATGCTAGCAAAATTCTTTTACGAATTATCATGAAAAGGAAACTACAATTGAATTTGAGCTAGATGAAGCACAAGCGGCTTTCAGACAGGGTAGAGGAACTAGGGATCACATATTTAATATGAGAATAATTTTTGAAAACGGCAGAGAATACAATGCAGATCTTCATGCTTGTTTTATTGATTATAGCAAGGCATTTGATTGTGTCCAGCACCACCAACTGTGGACTATTATGAAAAGTATGGGATTTCCAGTGCATTTAGTGCAATTAATTGAAAATCTTTATCATAAACAACAAGCAGCCATCAGAGCAGCAAGTAAACTACACTTGGACTAAGAACGCCAAGGTTGTGGATAAGGCGATTTTCCAAAGCGAGGCGGGTAATATGATCAGCTAGAGCAAGATTTTAATGCTGTGACAGATATGTCATCTTTAACGCTGTGGTCAGGGCTATCAAAATGAAGAGGGATTGGTTTGAGTGTCTTCTTGTCGATATCGGAGAGGTGTTCCCGGAAACGATCAGCTAGATTCCTGCCAGTCTCCCCAATGTGGTATCAATATCCAACATACCTTCATATAAATAGTTCTAATCTTATCACATTTTAAATGTTAATTATTTTATTTCATATTATTACTTTATTCTATTTCTTATCAGTATCATTTATGTATCATTCAACACTTGTATTTCTTTTATTCCCAGTATTGTGACTATATTTTTTAGCCATCGTTTATTTATTTTTTTTTAATTTTATTTATTCCGCATCACATTTTTTTAAACGTCGCTCACGTCACCCCTTAGAGATCTACATACTCTCCATTCCTCGTTTGTGTAGTCCACTTGTGTTTGAAAAAGGCTGCCCGGCCGAAACGTTTCGTTGTGTTGTTTTGTGCACGTTTTCCTCTTTCCCATTTTGTTGTGTTTTGTGCACGTTTTCCTCTTTCCCATTTTGTTGAGCTTTTTAGTCAAATTTCTCTGGAATTCCTTGTATTAGCTTGACTGCAGTCACACCCATTGTTTCTACATTTTTGGACAGTAGCTGACATGTTCCAGCCATCATTGAGGTGATCACAGGCCAACCTGGCAAGCCCAGCCAGACAACTTCCGGCGGCTGCAGCAGACGCCACAGACAGCGAGTGGAGCCGGCGGCTGTAGGTTTGATTTGTTCTGTCTTGCTGTCTTCATTTGTGTCGTCCGCTCGTTGTTCTTTTTCGACCGGTTGCTGTTTTGTTACCTTTGTGTGTGCTTATGGGGACGTTGTCTTGTTTACTGTTGTGAAAGACATTCTTGTCAGTGTTGGCACCGGTGTTTCTCTTGGTGCCCTCTCGGTCGAGACGCTGTAGAGTCACTGTAGTCATTGACAGGGCTAGGGATGGAGACACGGCAGCAGAAGTCATTGACAGGGCTAGGGATGGAGACACGGCAGCAGAAGTCATTGACAGGGCTAGGGATGGAGACACGGCAGCAGAAGTCATTGACAGGGCTAAGCATAAAGACACGGCAGCAGAAGTCATTGACAGGGCTAGGGATGGAGACACGGCAGCAGAAGTCATTGACAGGACTGGGCATAAAGACACGGCAGCAGAAGTCATTGACAGGACTGGGCATAAAGACACAGCAGCAGAAGTCATTGACAGGGAGGGGCATAAAGACACAGCAGCAGAAGTCATTGACAGACCTGGGCATAAAGACACAGCAGCTGAAGTCATTGGCAGGACTGGGCATAAAGACACAGCAGCAGAAGTCATTGACAGGGCTGGGCATAAAGACACAGCAGCAGAAGTCATAGACATGGCTAGGCATGGAGACATGGCAGCAGAAGTCATTGACAGGGCTAGGCATAAAGACACAGCAGCAGAAGTCATTGACAGGACTGGGCATGGAGACATGGCAGCAGAAGTCATTGACAGGGCTAGGCATAAAGACACTGCAGCAGAAGTCATTGACAGAACTGGGCATAAAGACACGCCAGTTGTTGACAGGGCTGGGCATAAAGACACTGCAGCAGAAGTCATTGACAGGGCTAGGCATAACGACATGGCAGCAGAAGTCATTGACAGGGCTAGGCATAAAGACACGGCAGCAGAAGTCATTGACAGGACTGGGCATAAAGACATGGCAGCAGAAATCATTGACAGGACTGGGCATGGAGAAACGGCAGCAGAAGTCATTGACAGGACTGGGCATAAAGACACGGCAGCAGAAGTCAGTGACAGGACTGGGCATAAAGATACGCCAGTTGTTGACAGGGCTGGGCATAAAGACATGGCAGCGGAAGTCATTGACAGGGCATAAAGACATGGCAGCGGAAGTCATCACACGAGGTTGTACTGTCGTCCTTGTTCACTGGTGTGCTGGTATGTGACGTCTGGCGGGATGCAGTGATTGTCTATCACCGGAGCTATCAGCCATCATCAGCATCCAAACTTTGTATCCTCATCCACACAGTGCATCATCATCAGCCACACATTATATCATCATCAACACAGGGCCCATTCATTTCCAAGCGAAACAAAGCCAAACACTTACAAATGCAACCAAATTCGCATTTCATCATTTCAGTCACTTGTAATTTAAATTAATCTTCAAATTTGATTTGGGCAAAGTAACCCTAAAAGAACGAAAAAATGCATGATAGTGCGTGCTCCCCCCACACACACATGCACACGCTCGCGCGCACACACACACACACATACGCTCGCGCGCGCACACACACACGCACAGATCTCCTGCCATCTCTTGGCGGCCACTAGCTTCAAGATCTCCTGCCATCTCTGGGAGCCACCAGCTCCAAGATCTCCTGCCATCTGTGGCGGCCACCAGCTCCAAGATCTCCTGCCATCTGTGGCGGCCACCAGCTCCAAGATCTCCTGCCATCTGTGGCGGCCACCAGCTCCAAGATCTCCTGCCATCTGTGGCGGCCACCAGCTCCAAGATCTCCTGCCATCTGTGGCGGCCACCAGCTCCAAGATCTCCTGCCATCTGTGGCGGCCACCAGCTTCAAGATCTCCTGCCATCTCTAGGGGGCACCAGCTCCAATATCTCCTGCCATCTCTAGGGGGCACCAGCTCCAAGATCTCCTGCCATCTCTAGGGGGCCACCAGCTCCAAGATCTCCTGCCATCTCTAGGGGGCACCAGCTTCAAGATCTCCTGCCATCTCTAGGGGGCCACCAGCTCCAAGATCTCCTGCCATCTCTATGGGGCACCAGCTCCAAGATCTCCTGCCATCTCTAGGGGGCACCAGCTCCAAGATCTCCTGCCATCTCTAGGGGGCACCAGCTTCAAGATCTCCTGCCATCTCTAGGGTGCACCAGCATCAAGATCTCCTGCCAACTCTGGGAGCCACCAGCTCCAAGATCTCCTGCCATCTCTAGGGGGCACCAGCTTCAAGATCTCCTGCCATTTCTAGGGGGCCACCAGCTCCAAGATCTCCTGCCATCTCTAAGGGGCACCAGCTCCAAGATATCCTGCCATCTCTAGGGGGCACCAGCTCCAAGATCTCCTGCCATCTCTAGGGGGGCACCAGCTTCAAGATCTGCTGCCATCTCTAAGGGGCACCAGCTCCAAGATCTCCTGCCATCTCTAGGGGGCACCAGCTCCAAGATCTCCTGCCATCTCTAGGGGGGCACCAGCTTCAAGATCTCCTGCCATCTCTAGGGGGCACCAGCTTCAAGATCTCCTGCCATCTCTAAGGGGCACCAGCTCCAAGATCTCCTGCCATCTCTAGGGGGGCACCAGCTCCAAGATCTCCTGCCATCTCTAGGGGGGCACCAGCTTCAAGATCTGCTGCCATCTCTGGGAGCCACCAGCTCCAAGATCTCCTGCTATCTCTAGGGTGCACCAGCTTTAAGATCTCCTGCCATCTCTAATGGGCACCAGCTCCAAGATCTCCTGCCATCTCTGTTGATGCCTATAGTCCATTATCTGAGATGCACAACCTGGACGTGTGGCAGTAGTCTTGTTTAGGGGTCTATAAAACCAACACAGAGAATGCTGGTACCGAGGTGATGCACGAAGTATCCCTTTATAAGCTGCAGAATAGACTTCACTTTCCCTCACACCTGTGATTGAAGTAACAGTAATCTATGTGAACTGTGTGTAGTGCATATTGTATATGTTCGTGTGATCTAGTATGCCTAGGGTGTTTTTGTGAAGTGTATGATTTGATATTTATGTGGTGTACAACAATATGAGTGCACAATGCACTGCTGTGATAGTATAGCTGTGTGATATGTGCACATAATGTATGTACAGTGTTATTTGTCTGCTTCTTTGTGGCTAAACTTATCCGTTTTATCCTGTGACACACAGAAATTACATATCCATGGAGCAGAACAGACTTCCTTCAGCATTTCTGGAACGCAGATCTAAACTAGCAGCACTGAAGAAACTTGTTAGTTGCAAGAGAGCAGTCTCTAGCATCAGTCAGACATGCCACAGAACCAAACACACAAAACCTGTTGCAGACAGGAAGAAGAATGTGAGGAGGATACCTCATGTGGCTGAATCAGTCCAGGCACAGTTAGGCAGAAGGAGCTGTCGGCAGATGGCAGCTGACACATGCAGCTCGCAACCAATAGAAACTGCTTCCTCGGTGGCAGCAAAAAGACAAGCCAGGGAGGTTTCGAGGCCACAGTCACTGTCACCATCCAAGAGGATCAACACCAGATGTGTCATGTTACATCCCACAAGAATGCCTCCACTGTCTCACCTGCGCAGCCTAGTCTTGTCAGACAGTTCTAGTTCTCATAAGGAGACTGATGATTCCAGATGGCCTGAGGGACAGCTATTGTGGGGCAAAATACGAGGTTATCCTTTTTGGCCATGTATGGTATCCAGAGATCCATTCTCCAAACTTTTTACCAAGACACTGGGTAAGTCTGTGGCTGTATCTCATAGTCTGCCTCCCCTTGTTGGCCAAAACACTGTATAAGTCTGCTGCTGTATCTCATAGTCTACCTTCTGGTGTTGACCAAGACACTGGGTAAGTCTGTGGCTGTATATCATAGTCTGCCTTCCCTTGTTGACCAAGACACTGGGTAAGTCTGTGGCTGTATATCATAGTCTGCCTTCCCTTGTTGACCAAGACACTGGGTAAGTTTGTGGCTGTATCTCATAGTCTGCCTCCCCTTGTTGACCAAAACACTGTATAAGTCTGCTGCTGTATTTCATAGTCTACCTTCTGGTGTTGACCAAGACACTGGGTAAGTCTGTGGCTGTATATCATAGTCTGCCTTCCCTTGTTGACCAAGACACTGGGTAAGTCTGTGGCTGTATATCATAGTCTGCCTTCCCTTGTTGACCAAGACACTGGGTAAGTTTGTGGCTGTATCTCATAGTCTGCCTCCCCTTGTTGACCAAAACACTGTATAAGTCTGCTGCTGTATTTCATAGTCTACCTTCCGGTGTTGACCAAGACACTGGGTAAGTCTGTGGCTGTATATCATAGTCTGCCTTCCCTTGTTGACCAAGACACTGGGTAAGTTTGTGGCTGTATCTCATAGTCTGTCTCCCCTTGTTGACCAAGACACTGGGTAAGTCTATGGCTGTATATGATAGTCTGCCTTCCCTTGTTGACCAAGACACTGGGTAAGTCTGTGGCTGTATATCATAGTCTGCCTTCCCTTGTTGACAAGACACTGGGTAAGTTTGTGGCTGTATCTCAGTCTGCCTCCCCTTGTTGACCAAAACACTGGGTAAGTCTGTGGCGGTATCTCATAGTCTGCCTCCCCTTGTTGACCAAGACACTGGGTAAGTTTGTGGCTGTATATCATAGTCTGCCTTCCCTTGTTGACCAAGACACTGGGTAAGTCTGTGGCTGTATATCATAGTCTGCCTTCCCTTGTTGACCAAGACACTGGGTAAGTCTGTGGCTGTATATCATAGTCTGCCTTCCCTTGTTGACCAAGACACTGGGTAAGTCTGCTGCTGTATCTCATAGTCTGCCTTCCCTTGATTGCTTCCGATCCAGATCCTGGACAGTTGATTCTATTCTGTTTCATGTTTGATGCACAAACCTACACAGCCTTCCCTCAGCCAGTCAGTCAGTTGCCATCTCTACAGTGAAGGTTTGCAACTCTCTCATCCTTTCTGTACCCTCTCTGAGACTACTGTTTGTCCATCTCTTGTTAATATCCTCCCATTTGTATCACTGCCTGCCTCTTGCCTGTTTTCCCACTATTTTGTTTTTATAAAATTGTTTTTTTTTTAAATGTGGTCAAAATATTTTTTATCTGCTACATGATCTGATGATACCATCATATAAATCGCTGCAATTTCTGGATGTGTTTGTTGATGAAGGCTTGACTCATGTATATCACAGTGTAGATATGTCACTGCTATTTCTGGATGTGTTTGTTGATAAAGGCTTGACTCATGTATACCACAGTGTTGATGTCATGCTATTTCTGGTTGTGTTTGTTGATAAAGGCTTGTCTTGTTTATTCTGTCTCTAGGCAACATTATTGACCTATGTACTTTGTGTTGTCTCTGTTGTAGCTTCCATTGTCCCAGCTTGTTTCACACACAAACCCTCACACCTCTCTCAGGTTTTTTTTTTCTGTTGCCCTCCAGGGTCTTGGAAAACCTCCAGATCTTACCATGTCCAGTTTTTTGGTAAAGAGACGGAACACAGCTGGATAAATGAGGCATCACTGTTGGAGTTTGAAGGCAGGCACAAGTATCTGGACATTGTCCAGTACGGGCTGGAAAACCCACAGAGGAACTCCAGACCTCCAGGTGAGTTTGTGATCAGTCCAGCTTGGTATCCATCCTGGAGTCTGGCTGTCACCGAGGCCGAGGCTGCATCCAAGTTGGGGCTGGAGCAGCGCAAGCTCTGCTATACTTTTGACTATGTAGTAACTAGGGGAGAGGCACAGAAGCCTGTCGATGAACTGTTGAAGGTGATTTGGTTCCATTCAGGTGGGCGTCAGGGGGATGGTGAAGACAAGCCAGATATTGATGATGATGATGATGACAGTTTATATAATAAACTGTTTGGTGTCCGGAGGGAGAATGCCTGCTACGATTCTGATGACTTCTACAGCTCAGATGAGAGCAGTAGCTCTACAGCAGACAGGCCTCCCAAACCTCCAGTGAGGGTTCAAGTCAGGCCAGGTCTGCTGCAGGTGTACCTCCACAAACAAGGCCCTTTCCTCCAAGAGAGGCATCCAGATTGGGACCCATCTTTTGTGGAAGAGTACCTGAAGAAGCAATGGTCAGTCATGTCCAGCCTGCAGCGAAGTCGCTACACAACAAGGCACCAGAAGCCACTGTTTGTGGAGGTGTACAGATCTCAGCGTTCTGTAAGTTACTTTATGTGTGTTTCAGTTAGGTTTGACAAAGGGTCAGATCTATCACTTCACTTCAGTACATGGATCAGATTTATGATGTGACTTCGGAACAAGAATCAGATCCTTCACGTGATTTACATACAAAATTAGATTTGTGACATAACATTACCACAAGGATCTGATTTATGACATAACTTCACCACAGGGATCAAGATTATGACAAGGATCAGATTTGTGACATGACTACCACAAGGATCAGATTTATGACTCCACCACAAGAATCAGATTTGTGACATGACTTAGCAACAGTAGATTTATCATGTGTCGTTAATTAAAAATTGTAGTCTTCAGGTGAGATTGTCATCTGAAGGATGTGACTGTCATACGAAGGATGTGACTGTCATCTGAAGGATGTGACTGTCATCTGAAGGATGTGACTGTCATCTGAGGGATGAGACTGTCATCTGAAGGATGAGACTGTCATCTGAAGGATGGGACTGTCATCTGAAGGATGAGACTGTCATCTGAAGGATGAGACTGTCATCTGAAGGATGAGACTGTCATCTGAAGGATGAGACTGTCATCTGAAGGATGAGACTGACATCTGAAGGATGAGACTCATCTGAAGGATGAGACTGCCATCTGAAGAATGAGACTGTCATCTGAGAGATGAGACTATCATCTGAAGAATGTGACTGTCATCTGAAGGATGAGACTGTCATCTGAAGGATGAGACTGTCATCTGAAGGATGAGACTGTCATCTGAAGGATGAGACTGTCATCTGAAGGTTGAGACTGTCATCTGAAGGATGAGACTGTCATCTGAAGGATGAGACTGTCATCTGAAGGATGTGACTGTCATCTGAAGGATGAGACTGTCATCTGAAGGATGAGACTGTCATCTGAAGGATGAGACTGTCATCTGAAGGATGAGACTGTCATCTGAAGGATGAGACTGTCATCTGAAGGATGAGACTCATCTGAAGGATGTGACTGTCATCTGAAGGATGAGACTGTCATCTGAAGGATGTGACTGTCATCTGAAGGACAGACTGTTTAGAAGCAGACTGCCACAGATCACACATTGCTGCCCACAAACATAACACAGTGTTCTGCACTAGAGACAAGACATGTTCTGCACTAGAGACAAGACATGTTCTGCACTAGAGACAAGACATGTTCTGCACTAGAGACAAGACATGTTCTGCACTAGAGACAAGGCATGTTCTGCACTAGAGACAAGACATGTTCTGCACTAGAGACAAGACATGCCGGTTTGTTATTCAGACCATTTCCTGAAATGTGTGTTCCAACTTTTAGACCTAGAACTATTTAAAAAACAAAAGGTTAGAAGTGGAGAGAATCAACACCATTGTACCTGGTTTTTATCTCATATGGTCTCTGTGCAGAATGGCTAGCTGCCTGGCGAGATCATTGCACAAAGTATGAACTCCATAACACCTGTGACATTCCCCAGGGATCTCCGTAAAAGTTGCACTCGTAAATGTCATAAAATGTGACCAGTCAAGGGTTTGCTGAAATCAGATGTGCGGGGGTGAAGGGTGCAGATATCACAGCCTAGCTGTATATCACAACACAACATGCCAAATACTCTCAATGCAAATGCAGAAGAAGTGGAAGAGCATCTGGCTGAGAGGGGACGTCAGATCCTCAGTGATTGATTTCCCTCCGGAGCTAAAGGTAAATTCCAAACTTGCACATCCAGCGGTGCCTGTACTTTGGCTAAAACAGAAAAGCCACAAATTTATTACAGAAAAGTTAATAAACAAATAACACAAAACTAAATACTGTGACAATAATTTAAGCCCAGGTTGAACAAGGTACATATTTCTCAAACTGAACAGCTGACTGAGGTTTCTGTGTTGTCAGCTGATGGAGACAACTGGTTGTGGACAAGCCAGTCAGTCGAACATCCTTTTTGTGTTTGACTGATATCTTATAATTATGTGTGTTGTATCTTATAATTATGTGTGTTGTATCTTATAATTATGTGTGTTGTATCTTATAATTATGTGTGTTGTATCTTTAGTTATGTGTGTTGTATCTTATAATTATGTGTGTTGTATCTTATAATTATGTGTGTTGTTACTTCAGGTCTCACCCACAGTTGATGATTTGCCTCCAGTAGATCCTCTGACACTGGGTCTCCAGATTCAGAAACTGTCCAGAAAGTGGCACATTCCCAGGTCAGAGAAATCTGGCATGGTCTGCCGGCAGCCAGGTGCCGACCTAGTGCGCTGTCAGGGTCCCTGTGCTGGATATTTCCATTCAACATGTCTACAAGATGTCAGAAATGATGCCTCCTTATGTCCGGAATGCCACTTGAGTATGTTCATCATCATGTGATCATCATCATAAAACTGACTGTAGTGTTTGTCATCAACTAAAATGTTACATATGAATCTTGGCCTGCATGTGGAATCAGCTAATAGCTGTGTGTCACTGCCAAAGTACATTGTGTTATTTTGTATTTTATGTTTAGTCTGACTGTACTGCAGAAATCTGGCTTGATAGTGTCACATAGCAGTGTAGATGCCTGGGTCATTATGGCTAGTGTGTCTGTTGGCATTAGCTGTGACATCTATGAGGAATGAAAGAGCGAGTTTGTATCTTAGTGAGTTTCTGGCATGTTTCACCTGCTGTGATATAGTGAAGGAGCAGTGACAAATCAGTCTGGCTGACAGTACAGTGACAGATCAGTCTGGCTGACAGTACACAGTGACAGAGATCAACTTGGCTGACAGTACAGTGACAGATCAGTCTGGCTGACAGTACACAGTGACAGATCAGTCTGGCTGACAGTACAGTGACAGATCAGTCTGGCTGACAGTACAATGACAGATCAACTTGGCTGACAGTACAGTGACAGAGATACACTTGGCTGACAGTACAGTGACTGAGATACACTTGGCTGACAGTACTGTGACAGACAGATCAACTTGGCTGACAGTACAGTGACAGATACACTTGGCTGACAGTACAGTGACAGAGAACACTTGGCTGACAGTACAGTTACAGACAGATCAACTTGGCTGACAGTACAGTGACAGAGATACACTTGGCTGACAGTACAGTGACTGAGATACACTTGGCTGACAGTACAGTGACAGACAGATCAACTTGGCTGACAGTACAGTGACAGAGATACACTTGGCTGACAGTACAGTGACAGACAGATCAACTTGGCTGACAGTACAGTTACAGACAGATCAACTTGGCTGACAGTACAGTGACTGAGATACACTTGGCTGACAGTACAGTGACAGAGATACACTTGGCTGACAGTACAGTGACTGAGATACACTTGGCTGACAGTACAGTGACAGACAGATCAACTTGGCTGACAGTACAGTGACAGAGATACACTTGGCTGACAGTACAGTGACAGACAGATCAACTTGGCTGACAGTACAGTTACAGACAGATCAACTTGGCTGACAGTACAGTGACAGAGATACACTTGGCTGACAGTACAGTGACAGAGAAACACTTGGCTGACAGTACAGTGACAGAGATACACTTGGCTGACAGTACAGTGACAGACAGATCAACTTGGCTGACAGTACAGTGACAGAGATCAACTTGGCTGACAGTACAGTGACAGAGATACACTTGGCTGACAGTACAGTGACAGAGAAACACTTGGCTGACAGTACAGTGACAGAGATCAACTTGGCTGACAGTACAGTGACAGAGAAACACTTGGCTGACAGTACAGTGACAGAGATACGCTTGGCTGACAGTACAGTGACAGACAGATCAACTTGGCTGACAGTACAGTGACAGAGATACACTTGGCTGACAGTACAGTGACAGAGAAACACTTGGCTGACAGTACAGTGACAGAGATACGCTTGGCTGACAGTACAGTGACAGACAGATCAACTTGGCTGACAGTACAGTGACAGAGATACACTTGCCCTGACTCTCACAACCACCATTCAAAAACTCTGATGATGATATTCCAGATGCTACTGTCTGTTTTGCCTGTAAACAACCTGGGGCTGACCTGGTGCAGTGCAGCAGCCTGAAATGTCACAAGTTCTACCATGAAGTTTGTGTGGCTCAGTTGCCGCTGACCGTCATGGACCCGGCTGGTTTTCTGTGTCCACTCCATGTCTGTGTCACCTGCCAGGTGGAGCAGAGGCCTTTAGCCAGGGAAGGTATGTCAACAAGTTTTTACATTTGGCCTCAGGTTCCTTATATAGAAGACCTAATCCTGCAGCCTCATTATCCCATTCATGTAGGCTGACATTTCCTCATTCGTGTAGGCTGACATTTCCCCATTCATGTAGGCTGACATTTTCCCATTCATTAGGCTGCCATTTCCCCATTCATGTAGGCTGACATTTCCCCATTCATGTAGGCTGACATTTCCCCATTCATTAGGCTGCCATTTCCCCATTCATTAGGCTGCCATTTTCCCAGTCATGTAGGCTGACATTTCCCCAGTCATGTAGGCTGACATTTCCCCAGTCATGTAGGCTCACATTTCCAACAGAGGGACACATCGAAGTTAGTAGGGACGTTAACTTTCTTTTTATTGATGGAGGTCAACCCTTGTCCTGTCCTGACCATCAATGCCTCAGATGAGAGTTCCAGCTCGGTTTTCCAAATTTACCTACCAACCAACCACCTTAGGACTTGCTGTGAGTAATTTGTGTCCCACTGACAAGAGCACAGTATCAGCGCCCTAGGGTAGAAGAGAAACCAGCTTGTGAAGGTTGAATATCCTGTTAACTAATGTCAAGTGTGAACATTTTCTACTATTTTCTGACTCCAGGATCTTTTGTTGAGTGTCTGAGATGCCCCACAGCGTACCACTGCAGTGACTGGTGTCTTATTGCTGGCAGTCAGCTCACTGGCAGGCATCATTTGCTTTGTGCTGATCACTTTCAGCCAACTAGAGGCTGCTCCCAGCACTCCAGGGTCCACTTGAGGGCTTGTTTGAAATGTGGACTTGGTAAGAGATTCTTGTATTATGTGTATGTGTGTGTGTGAGAGAGAGAGAGAGAGAGAGAGAGAGAGAGAGAGAGAGAGAGAGAGAGAGAGAGAGAGAGATTGTCCAAGCACTTTCATTGTGAAACTGCTGACAGCATTCCAGGGTCCACCTGAGGGCTTGTTTGAAGTGTGGACTTGGTAAGAGATTCTTGTATTGTTATGTGTATGTGTGTGAGAGAGAGAGATTGTCCAAGCCCTTTCATTGTGAGACTGCTGTCAGCATTCCAGGGTCAACATGAGTAGCTGCTTGAAGTGTGGTTATTGTAAGAGATTCCCTGTGTGATTGTATAGGAGAGAGAGAGAAATATTGTCCAACCACTTTCCAGAAATGTGCATGTGTGTGAGACAGTTGCAGGGTGTCAGTCACTGTTAGCCTAACAAAGTACACTCATGTTTGCTGTGTGAGACAGTTGCAGGGTGTCAGTCACTGTTAGCCTAACAAAGTACACTCATGTTTGCTGTGTGAGACAGTTGCAGGGTGTCAGTCACCGTCAGCCTAACAGAGTACACTCATGTTTGCTGTGTGAGACAGGGTGTCAGTCACTGTTAGCCTAACAGAGTACACTTATGTTTGCTGTGTGAGACAGTTGCAGGGTGTCAGTCACTGTTAGCCTAACAGAGTACACTCATGTTTGCTGTGTGAGACAGTTGCAGGGTGTCAGTCACTGTTAGCCTAACAAAGTACACTCATGTTTGCTGTGTGAGACAGTTGCAGGGTGTCAGTCACTGTTAGCCTAACAAAGTACACTCATGTTTGCTGTGTGAGACAGGGTGTCAGTCACTGTTAGCCTAACAAAGTGCACTCATGTTTGCTGTGTGAGACAGTTGCAGGGTGTCAGTCACTGTTAGCCTAACAGAGTACACTCATGTTTGCTGTGTGAGACAGTTGCAGGGTGTCAGTCACAGTTAGCCTAACAGAGTACACTCATGTTTGCTGTGTGAGACAGTTGCAGGGTGTCAGTCACTGTTAGCCTAACAGAGTACACTCATGTTTGCTGTGTGAGACAGTTGCAGGGTGTCAGTCACTGTTAGCCTAACAGAGTACACTCATGTTTGCTGTGTGAGACAGTTGCAGGGTGTCAGTCACTGTTAGCCTAACAAAGTACACTCATGTTTGCTGTGTGAGACAGTTGCAGGGTGTCAGTCACTGTTAGCCTAACAGAGTACACTCATGTTTGCTGTGTGAGACAGTTGCAGGGTGTCAGTCACTGTTAGCCTAACAAAGTACACTCATGTTTGCTGTGTGAGACAGTTGCAGGGTGTCAGTCACTGTTAGCCTAACAGAGTACACTCATGTTTGCTGTGTGAGACAGTTGCAGGGTGTCAGTCACTGTCAGCCTAACAGAGTACACTTATGTTTGCTGTGTGAGACAGGGTGTCAGTCACTGTTAGCCTAACAAAGTACACTCATGTTTGCTGTGTGAGACAGTTGCAGGGTGTCAGTCACTGTCAGCCTAACAGAGTACACTCATGTTTGCTGTGTGAGACAGTTGCAGGGTGTCAGTCACTGTTAGCCTAACAAAGTACACTCATGTTTGCTGTGTGAGACAGTTGCAGGGTGTCAGTCACCGTCAGCCTAACAGAGTACACTCATGTTTGCTGTGTGAGACAGGGTGTCAGTCACTGTTAGCCTAACAAAGTACACTCATGTTTGCTGTGTGAGACAGTTGCAGGGTGTCAGTCACTGTCAGCCTAACAGAGTACACTTATGTTTGCTGTGTGAGACAGGGTGTCAGTCACTGTTAGCCTAACAAAGTACACTCATGTTTGCTGTGTGAGACAGTTGCAGGGTGTCAGTCACTGTCAGCCTAACAGAGTACACTCATGTTTGCTGTGTGAGACAGTTGCAGGGTGTCAGTCACTGTCAGCCTAACAGAGTACACTCATGTTTGCTGTGTGAGACAGGGTGTCAGTCACTGTTAGCCTAACAAAGTACACTCATGTTTGCTGTGTGAGACAGTTGCAGGGTGTCAGTCACCGTCAGCCTAACAGAGTACACTCATGTTTGCTGTGTGAGACAGGGTGTCAGTCACTGTTAGCCTAACAAAGTACACTCATGTTTGCTGTGTGAGACAGTTGCAGGGTGTCAGTCACTGTCAGCCTAACAGAGTACACTTATGTTTGCTGTGTGAGACAGGGTGTCAGTCACTGTTAGCCTAACAAAGTACACTCATGTTTGCTGTGTGAGACAGTTGCAGGGTGTCAGTCACTGTCAGCCTAACAGAGTACACTCATGTTTGCTGTGTGAGACAGTTGCAGGGTGTCAGTCACTGTCAGCCTAACAGAGTACACTCATGTTTGCTGTGTGAGACAGGGTGTCAGTCACTGTCAGCCCAACAGAGTACACTCATGTTTGCTGTGACCTGTGTTAAGCAGCATTTGAAGCATGGATGTTTGGAAGATAAGATCATGTGATGAACAAATGACGGTCTGTCAGAGTTAACCTCCTGGGTGACAGATGAAGAGAATGGTGGAGATTCATTGTAGCCAACCTTCTGTGTAGAGATGGCGCCTGGTTGATGATTACTGTGCTAAGGTATCCACTGAAGGTGTACACTAAAGGAAGTTCATGCGTATCAATTGTTTTTGCCATGGAGATGTCACTGTATGTCAGTCAAGTGTGTTTACATGCTCCACTGTCTGATATATTTCAGGTGGAAGTTTGCGGCAGTGTCAGCATTGTCCTGCTGCCTGTCATGAGCAGTGTGAGGGTGGGACGTCACACATCTCCAGCCTGGATCCAAGAAGATCCACCATCAACCGTGACTCTGAGACTTCACCTGCACAAGTGGAAGTCTGGCTGTGTTCTCACTGTCTCACTGGGAAGAAACCTTTGTATGGGGACATAGTCTGGGTGAAACATGGCTTCTACAGGTAACTGACTGATACAGTTTATTTAGAACATAGTCTGGGTGAAACATGGCTTCTACAGGTAACTGATAGGGTTTATTTAGAACATAGTCTGGGTGAAACATGGCTTCTACAGGTAACTGACTGATAGGGTTTATTTAGAACATAGTCTGGGTGAAACATGGCTTCTACAGGTAACTGATAGGGTTTATTTAGAACATAGTCTGGGTAAAACATGGCTTCTACAGGTAACTGACTGATAGGGTTTATTTAGAACATAGTCTGGGTGAAACATGGCTTCTACAGGTAACTGACTGATAGGGTTTATTTAGGACATAGTCTGGGTAAAACATGGCTTCTACAGGTACAAGACTGATAGGGTTTATTTAGGACATAGTCTGGGTAAAACATGGCTTCTATAGGTAACTGACTGATAGGGTTTATTTAGAACATAGTCTGGGTAAAACATGGCTTCTACAGGTAACTGACTGATAGGGTTTATTTAGAACATAGTCTGGGTAAAACAGGGCTTCTACAGGTAACTGACTGATAGGGTTTATTTAGGACATAGTCTGGGTAAAACATGGCTTCTACAGGTAACTGACTGATAGGGTTTATTTAGAACATAGTCTGGGTAAAACATGGCTTCTATAGGTAACTGACTGATAGGGTTTATTTAGAACATAGTCTGAGTAAAACATGGCTTCTACAGATACAAGACTGATAGGGTTTGTTTAGGACATAGTCTGGGTAAAACATGGCTTCTACAGGTACAAGACTGATAGGGTTTATTTAGAACATAGTCTGGGTAAAACATGGCTTCTATAGGTAACTGACTGATAGGGTTTATTTAGAACATAGTCTGGGTAAAACATGGCTTCTACAGGTACAAGACTGATAGGGTTTATTTAGGACATAGTCTGGGTAAAACATGGCTTCTAAAGGTACAAGACTGATAGGGTTTATTTAGGACATAGTCTGGGTAAAACATGGCTTCTACAGGTACAAGACTGATAGGGTTTATTTAGAACATAGTCTGGGTAAAACATGGCTTCTACAGGTACAAGACTGATAGGGTTTATTTAGAACATAGTCTGGGTAAAACATGGCTTCTATAGGTACAAGACTGATAGGGTTTATTTAGGACATAGTCTGGGTAAAACATGGCTTCTACAGGTACAAGACTGATAGGGTTTATTTAGGACATAGTCTGGGTAAAACATGGCTTCTATAGGTGACTGATAGGGTTTATTTAGGACATAGTCTGGGTAAAACATGGCTTCTACAGGTACAAGACTGATAGGGTTTATTTAGGACATAGTCTGGGTAAAACATGGCTTCTACAGGTACAAGACTGATAGGGTTTATTTAGGACATAGTCTGGGTAGGGTTTAAACATGGCTTCTATAGGTACAAGACTGATAGGGTTTATTTAGGACATAGTCTCTGGGGTAAAACAGGGCTTCTATAGGTGACTGATAGGGTTTATTTAGGACATAGTCTGGGTGAAACATGGCTTCTATAGGTACAAGACTGATAGGGTTTATTTAGGACATAGTCTGGGTAAAACAGGGCTTCTATAGGTGACTGATAGGGTTTATTTAGGACATAGTCTGGGTGAAACATGGCTTCTATAGGTAACTGACTGATAGGGTTTATTTAGGACATAGTCTGGGTAAAACATGGCTTCTATAGGTAACTGACTGATAGGGTTTATTTAGGACATAGTCTGGGTAAAACATGGCTTCTACAGGTACAAGACTGATAGGGTTTATTTAGGACATAGTCTGGGTGAAACATGGCTTCTACAGGTACAAGACTGATATGGTTTATTTAGAACATAGTCTGGGTAAAACATGGCTTCTACAGGTAACTGACTGATAGGGTTTATTTAGGACATAGTCTTCTGTGTAAAACATGGCTTCTATAGGTACAAGACTGATAGGCTTTATTTAGGACATAGTCTGGGTAAAACATGGCTTCTATAGGTACAAGACTGATAGGCTTTAGGACATAGTCTGGGTAAAACATGGCTTCTACAGGTACAAGACTGATAGGGTTTAGGGCACAGTCTGCGTGAAAAAGGCTTCTTCGGTTTACTGCTGACACAGATGTGACTGGGTGACTGTTTACTGCTGACAGATGTGACT